TTCTACTACTTGTTCTTCTTCATCTCTACTATGTCTTTGTTTGTTCTTCATCATTTTGTCATTCGTCTTCTTCTTCTTCTTCTTCTTCTTCTTCTCCTTCTTCTTCATCTTCTTCTTGTACTACTTGTTCTTCTTCATCTCTATTACGTCTTTGTTTGTTCTTCATCATTTTGTCTCATTCTTCTTCTTCTCCTTCTTCTCCTCCATTTAGTCGTGTTCTTTTCCTTCTTCGTTGTTTCTTCGTCTTCGTTCGTTTTTTCCTTTGTCATTTCTTCTTCTATTTGTTCTTATTCTTCATCAGTTCTTTTTTTCTTCTTCTCTTTCTTGTTGCCGCTTCTTCTTCTTCTTCTTCTTCTTCTTCTTCTTCTTCTTCTTCTTCTTCTTCTTCTTCTTCTTCTTCTTCTCTCCACTTCTTCCTCCGCCATAGCGCTTCATCAACAAATCGTCATCTTTTTTTTTGGGGGGGGAATGCTTGATTATGTTTCTGCTCCGTCTGCCATAGCCTCCCTCCTCCCTCCATAGATTCCCTCCCCCCTCCTCCTCCATCAGTCTCCCTTTCCCGTCGTCCTCCCTCATTAGACTCCCTCCCTCCATCAGTCTCCCTTCCCCCTCCTCCTCCCTCCGTAGGCTAGCTCCATAGGCTCCCCTCCCTCCTTCTTCTTCCCTTCTTCTTCATCTTCTTCTTCTTCCTCCTCTTCTTACTCTCTCCCTCTCTTCTTCGTCTTCTTCCCTTCTTCTTCGTCATCTTCTTCTTCCTCCTCTTCTTACTCTCTACAGTCCTTCTGGGACGCCATAGTCCTCTTTTCCTTCTTCTTTTCGCCTTCTTCTTCGTTAGAGTTCTGCCCATACCTCCTCCTACCTCCGGTAGAGTTCTGCTCCTACCTCCTCCTACCTCCTGCCATAGTCCCCCCTCCTCCCTCTTTCCTCCCGCCATAGTCCTCCCTCCTTCCTCCCGCCATGGTCCTCCCTCCTTCCTCCCGCCAAAGTCCTCCGTCCTCTCTCCTGGCAAAGTCCTCCTTCCTCTC